TTAGGATTAGGTTTAGGGTTAGGTTAAGGGTTAGGTTTAGGGTTAGGTTTAGGGGGTTAGGTTTAGGGTTTACAGCGTACTTCTGCCTCCGTGCTGTTGTCGCCCTGTTGATGACGTCAGCGACACGGTTTAGTCGGGCGCGGTTTAGTCGGGCGCGGTTTTGTGGTGGAACCCCTTGCAGCAAATAGCAAACCCCCAGGTCACTATATTACTGCAGCCTGATTCAGCAGGAACAGCTGATTGGCAGGTGAATCAGCCTCCCGGAATACCCCCAATCAGCTGTTCCAGGCTGCAGGGATTGCCAGAAACCATCGCCTCCTCCATGCCTCGTGTTTTCGGCTACATTCCATATTTTGGGGTGGGGAGTGCGTCTTATACTCCGAAAAATACAGTAAAACAGTTACCCTGATATGCATAGTTTAGAATGAGGGCTTGCTTTCCTCTCCGGGTTTTTAACTGAAATCCCCAAAACGGCCACAATCCCTTCTGAAATTTCACCTTGTGGGCTTTAGAGTTCGTCTCCTTTTCTTGCTTTTTCGAGTCTTCTTTCTTTTCCTGCTTTTGCACGGAGGCCACTTTTTCGTCCTCTTCCTCGCTTCGTTTCTTCTCGGATTTCTGATCGCGAGTCTCTACGACCTTGGGAGTCGGTTTCGATATCCGGGGGGACCGTCTTAAAATGCGTCCAACGCTGACCACCTCCTCTTCCTTCCCGGCGGCCGCGTTCAAAGGCTTGGCCGGGAGCGGGTCGTTTTTTTTCCGGCTGGAGATTCGGATCGTTAGCTTAATCCCGTCTTTCTGCCTCTCAGAGGTTAATTCCCTGTTCTCGGTGAGAGAACTTTCTTCTTCGGAAATCAGCTTGTATTTACACTTGGTTTTTACAGATTCTTTCTTCGTCTCGGATGGAGGTTCCTTGACGGAGGTTGGAAGGGCATCCGTGGTCGGCTGCTCTCCTTCTTGAGATTCGGAGTCCTTGGGCGTTTCCGCCGCCTGTTCCTGACTCGCTTGCCTTTGATCGGCGAAAGCGATTTGGGAATCGGAGTCTTCTTTTTCCACCACGGGTTTCTTAAACGAAAGGACTGAAACAGAAGATGGAGTGGCATCCGAACTGGCCAAGGTTGCTGTTTTCTCGTCCGAAGGACCAGTTTTTTTCAAATCGTCGGCGTCGGTAACCAGAACCGACTCTTTAGGAGAGGGTAGCTTGGTGGGCTTTTCCAAGCTGTCTTTGGAAAGTATCACACTGTCCTTTACTCTAAGAGAGTCTTCAATCTTAGGAGGATCTCCCGCCTTGGAAAGATTCTCGGCCACCCCGTCCGACTTCTTCGCCTCCAGCTGTTTTTCGCTCCCTTTGGGGCCCGTCTCCTCCCTTAAAGGCACGATCACTCCCACGGCCTCCTTCGTGGGATGCAAAATGCATCTCTCGACATCGCTGGTCCTGACGATGGTGCTGATACCCTCTTGGACCCGTTCCTCTCCGAGCCCGTTTTTCTCCTTCGGCAGAACGGCAGCCTCTTCCTTCGGGCAAGGCAAACGCTCCAATCGGTTATTCGCCACGAGTTTCTCGCAACCCAATTCCCCGTTGACCAGGAACTTCCCGTCGGTGATGGTGGGGACCCTCTTAAAGGTCTCCTCCTCGGGTTTGCCTCCGTCCTCTTTCGAAACGTCTTTTGTCGGCGTGATGCATTTCCGCAAGGGCGCTTTCAGTGGGCTGTCGAAATCATCCGTCAGCTTGATTTCTCGTTTTTTCAGGGGGATCTTGGCCTGCTGGTCGTTTTTAAGTTTCTCGTTCTCCTCCGCTGTTCTCTCCGTCACGTCTTGCGGGGTTTTGACGCTGACGCAGAACTCGATTCTCTCGGGTTCGAGGGCTGTTCTCTCCGCGTTGCTGTTCACCTCTCGGGAGTCTTTTGGCTCCGGCTTCTTCTCCTTCGCTTCCGCTTTAGACGGCTTCACGTTCTCTTTGAAAGAGTCGTTTTCGTCTTTGGTAGCTTGCACTTCCCCGCGGTTCTCCGGAGGCTTTTCGAGTTTTACAATAACGGGGAGCTTTATGATGTCTCTCTCTTCCACTTTCTCTACTTTGATCTTCTTTTCCTCTGCCGGGGCAGCAGGAGGTGGAAGGTTTTCGCAGGGCTGTGGCGGTCCCTCTGTTGGCTCCTTTTTTTCTTCCTTCACCTTCAATTCGCCTTCTGCTTATAATAAAAAAAAGAGACAGAATAAATTTAGAACAAGGATCAACATTAATTATATCCAGCTCAGATCACAGACATGCATGCTACCAGGGTGGTGCAGTGATTTGGACAATATTCAGAAACAATACTTAGAATGTGTACAGGGCTTCAGCCACGACATCCATCTGCATCTCGTTAAAGCTGCTACTTTTCCCAGGGAGGCAAGGCTGTCCCCTGCAGCTATGATATGATTTTGGAAAAAGATGCGTCTGCTTTAAGAAGTTCCAAATAAGTGCTACACCTATGCCCCCATATATAATCCAGGGAAAAATGCAGCTGTTTTAAAAAGCAGCACATAGGTGCTGCATCTGTGTCCCCATATGATATCAAATAATCCAGGGGAAAGACACAGCTGCTTTAAAGAATTGCAGATAGCGGTACATCTGTGTCCCCTTATATCATATAATTGAAGGAAAAGACACAGCTGCTTTAAAGAGTCACGGATAGATGCTATATTTGTGTCCCATATTTTTCAAAGCTCCTTTTGGGAAGTGAATTCAAATGACAACAAGATTATGACTTAGAATAGCAAATCATATCCATACAAATGTCATCGCTTCCCCTATGAGAATCCTAGGAATGATATTTTGATATGTTATGCTTTTTCTTCTACACATTTCGTCGTTGATCCCACCTCATCTTCCTCCAAGCTGCACACTCCATTCTGAGGTTCTACAAGAAGGAAAAATTCTGGGATCTCAACTCCGCACATTGTAAAGTTAGCAAAATTGAAAAACACGGCTCTAGGCAACAGAAGTAAAAAGATTAGCCGGGCAATTTTTGTGTACGTCTATCGTAAAGGGTAAGGGATATGATGGCTCAGTGGCTAAGACACTGAGCTTGTCAATCAGAAAGATTGGCAGTTCGGCAGTTCTTATCCCTAGCACCGCGTAAGGAAGTGAGTTCCCGTGACTTCTCCCAGCTTCTGCCAACCTAGCAGTTCGAAAGCACGTAAAAAATGCAAGTAGAAAAATAGGAACCACCTTTGGTGGGAAGGGGACAGCATTCCGTGCGCCTTCGGTATTTAGTCATGCCAGCCACTTGACCACGGAGACATTTTTGGACAGCGCTGGCTCTTTGGTTTTGAAACGGAGATGAGCACCGCCCCCTAGAGTCGGGAACGACTAGCACATACGTGTTAGGGGAACCTTTACCTTATCATAAGGGCTGGGCAGCTTGCTAAACCTTCATGGGCATGAACAAATGAGGCTATCTGGTGGCTTCTGTCTTTTGCAATAGTGGTGACATGCAGACAACACCACATATGTATACTTGCCGTTTGTGTCCTGATCAGGGCACACTTGAAGACCTCCTGGAAGGTGTGACAGAACACAATTTTGGGCAAGATCTGTTTCAGTTGTACATATCTTAATCTTGTACTTTAGATTTTATCTTGCATGGTATGCCTTATTTTAATTGTGATGCTTCTGACACGGGTAAACAAACAAAACATGGGTATGCCAACAGCGTGACCCAGAATGGCTTATCCTGCACCTGTCTCTGGAGCAAGGCCCTTCAGAATTGTATTCCTCTTGGGAGAAGTTTAGTTTAGCTTACTTTATTGACACTGCACCTCGTACAACGAAATTAAATGCCATCTTCAGTGTACATCATACATAAGAAAACTATAAAAAATAGAAACAAAAACACACATCCTTCGCATTCTATACAATTGAATTGAACACCCCTGATATTGCATTAATACCGCACTATGCAGTAGAATTCAATATAGTTACTGCCCTGGGATAGAAGTTGGTTTTTTCAGCCTATTATTCCTGGTTTTTATTGTCCTGAACCAGCTGCCAGATGGTAATAGTTTAAAAAAAAAAGGGGAGCTCAGGATGAGATGGATCTTTAAGAATGTTTTGAACTTTCTGAAGGCAGCGGGAGCTATCAAGCTCTTCCAAGGAGGGCAGAGGGCAACCCACAATCCTCTGGGCAATGACGTTGACCCTCTGCGCTGTCCTATCTGCCACTGTACAATTGGCAAAACCATACACAGGGACAGTAAATTAAAATACTGGTGTTTGTCCACATCAGAAGAAAAGGCCCAGTTAGGTTTCTGTGAGCCGAATTCAACTTCCAAATACTTTGGCTCTGCAACAATTAAAAGTCAAATTAGCCGAGCTTTTTGAAACTTTAAGACGTTAAGAAGAATCAACAATAGGCCCTCTTGAAGGACGCTTATTATGGGACTTCACTAACCCACAGTGGTGGCTCGAGTGCCAATTCTCAAGAGGAGTAAATAGAAACACAGACTGCCCACCGGGGCAGGATAAGAAGAATTCAATTCCAACCTTGCGTTGCCGTCCCTTCCCTCTTTTTGGCCTCTTCATCTTCAGTGCTAGGACTCTCTTGCAAAGAGTTATCCTGGGTTTTCAACAGGGCAGGATCAATTTGTGCTTTCAGGAGCTCCAGAGTTTCGGCCAGCTCATTTCGGCTTCTGGATGAAAAATATAAGACATGCACCAAACCTCAGAAAAATACTGTATATACTCAACTCCTTGTTATGGCAAGCAGCCACATAGCGATGTCCCACCTCCTCTGGTACAGTGATCCAATGATAGGAATCACT